CATGTCTAGGCCGGGACACGTATCGGGAGGAAACAGGAGAGTGATCCGCCGTTATTATTTAAACATTTGATGAATTTCAATTTCACAGTATACCTATTTGAGATTTTCACAGAAAGTAATAGTTTCGAAGTAAATCAACTATGATAAATAACGTTTTACGTCGACATCGGGTGCATCAGTATGCAACGAGGCTTCCATTTATCTCGTGAGAATATGGAAGCTGAAAAATAAATTAAATTACATAATAAATTGTCTTCAAAATCAAGTGGGAATAAGCAGTCGAGGTATATTAGTTTTTGATTGTTTTGCATAAAGTTTTTATTTTTAATACACTGTTGCATAATTATTTTTGGGATAATTGCTTTTTGGTATACAGTTTAATTTTATATAATTTCGATTATCATTACTAGACGTAGATGTATCAATTGACCGGTTAATTAAGTTAAGATTGTGACCAAAATAAAAAGCCCACGGAGCCAGCGAAGCAAGATATTAAGTTTTTTTAATAATGAGTAGAAAATATATACCTAAAAAGTATGCGTAAGCTCTTATGCGTAAATAGCGTTATATGTTATTGTACAGGGTTAATTATTACAAATCATTTTTTTTTATTCACACAGATAGGGCACTTATTAGTTCACTTAGAATAGATATAAGTGAGTGATCCATATCTGTGTTACCGTATACCTCACTACAGGTTTCAATATGGACTCGATAATGGTGAGTATGGGGGATAGTCTTCATTCAATCTGCTCGGTCAACAAGCTTGTTTGCGGCTTATGTTCGATACAACGACATGACGGCAAATATAATGGTTATTACACGAAGTATCGGAAGGCTTACAATGTCGTATGCAGAAAGGAAGATACTTTTCTATACTACGAGTAATATATATGTGTACGAAATTATGTACACTTTTACTATTTTTTGTCGTCATTAACTTGTCCAAGGGTAAAGGAGGTCAAGATGTAATATAACATGTCGCTTATAAAATATCCCTAAAATTAAATAAATCAATTATATATATTTTTTATAAATATTTAAATTATCAATATTTTTTTCATATATGGACTTATTTAGATTCCGCTATTAGCGGAAAAAATGGGGATATAAATCCGCACAACCTATTATATTTAAATATATGGATAAATAAAAGAGAAGTTAATAATTTACTGATATATGGACGCACACTACAAAGTATTAGGATTAGAAACTTGTTACCATGCTTACATGTGTGACTCATTTACACTGGTCGTTGAGGTCAGCACGAGGAGTGCAGGCGACCTCTACGCGCTCATCTCGTTGGTCATTGAATAAACAATGGCAGGCCAATAAAAGCGAGGAACATAAATCGCCCGAACAGAACACAGAAACACATCATTCACAAAGTAATATCTAAAAAATAAGAATTTAAATTTTAATATTTGGAACATTCATTAGAACTTAACGCCGTTAGTGTACTAACACACCGACGCAATCGCACGCGAATGCGAAACATTTGCGAAATGTTGTCAGTTGTATGGCAACGTTTCATATGTGTTTTGTCTCGCTCTATCATTAGCTCGATGATATAGCTGCGTCCTTGTCATTGCGGTTTCGCAGTAAACTGCGAAAAAATCGTTACACACAGGTATTTCGCATTCAGGGTTGCCACCCGTCCTTTTTTATTACTAACCGAATGTCACGAATTTTGTTTCTCAAAAGGTGACAACCCTGTCCGCATTCGCATAGTTTCGCATCCCCAAGCGAATGCGTCGGTGTACTACGCAAGACATTTCAAACTGACACATTGGCAGTGTGAGGCGACTTTTTTCTTTGTTCTCTGTTATATTATTGTAATGTTATTTTTGTGACCTCCATTTGAATTAGAATGTTAACATTAGAATTTCTGGTATTGAAGTTTGGTAATAACTAAACTTCTCCAAACTACGGTGAAGGGGTTGATATCTTACCCGAAAGCCTTCAATTAGCGTGGTCATTAACGATGCGTTTATGATCCACTTGATGTTACGGGCCGTCATCGGCAATTAAGCGTTATTGGTTTTTTATTACAAGTAGAACGTTACTCTACATAATACAGAACATTAATTATTGGTTCTTAGACGATATGAAGACCTTCATTCATTGATGTGTTGTGTAAGAATACTTTTTAATTAACTTCGAAAAAGAAAAAAAGGGAAATAATTTTCCGGTTAACAATTCAATTGTATGTTTTTTTTTTTATGTAGGTATGTCTTATTATGTTGTCTTCAGTCGATAATTGACCAAATGTGGTGATATTATTTTTGTTTTAAACGGTAAAAGATCCTATTAAAATGTCATGAAGTTTGGATCAATAGATTTTATCAAAGGATACGTTAAACTGTTTTATTAATAATTTTTGTGTTTAGAAAATATCTGCAAATGTCAAAGTCACATAACTTCATATGAAATTAGTGTGTTATCAATAAAATTACAATGCCTTGTACTTATAACTTGGACATCATCAAACGTTTAGGTAAAACAAATAGCTAAGAACTAAGTAAGTAATAGTTTTGAAGCTGTAAAGTTAAATGCGTTAGCCCTACCCACCAGTTAAGTTTATGGTTAGCTGTAACCGCGGTTTATGGCTGAAAGCTAACTGTTCGCAATTAATCTTCATCGCTACTCAATAAACAAAACAGTTTAATGTTCAGTAACTGCTAAACTATGAATATGCCCGTTGTTATAAAAGATCCATTTTCTTTGCCAAAAATAATTAAATGACAGTTTAATCCCATGCTTTATATATGTATAATATTATTTATTGAAAACAATATAACACAAAAGGCGACTTTATAATCATCACCACATCATCACCAGCCCTTTTACGTCCCCACTGCAGGGGCTCAGGCCTTCCTTATGGATGGTTAAAGAGGATGGGCCATGACCCTCCACGCTGGCCCAATGCGGATTGGAGGGTATTAACGAGTGCAAATGCAGCCGGGACCAACGGCTTAACGTGCCTTCCGAAGCACGGAGTAGCTCGAAATAAAATTTTTTTTGGTCACCCATCCCGTGACCGAGCCTTGCGAAAGTTGCTTAACAACTACAATCGCGAGCCACGGCGCTTATCCACTACGCCACGAGCTACTTTATAATATGAGGGGTAAAAGTATGATATTGCCGTTTTATTGTAATAGGTTCCTTGAATTGCCCTAGAATCTTCATGGTTTTCCAAATAAACTTTTTTCAACATGGTTTCTATGATTTACTTCTTTTAAAAAATGTGAAACATTTAAATATCGACTTTCAATTGTTTTGTTATTCAACTTGGACAAGAAAGATGGATGCGGTGAAAATTCGAGTGATTTTTGATACGAGTTCCGACGCGGCAGAAACAGCCCGCAATATCAATGTTGCGTTTGGAGAGGGGGTCTGCTAATGAACTTGAAGAATGAGCCACGAGAAAAACCGCCCACACAGGTGAATAACGATGAATTAAGAGATATGGTGGAAACCGATCCTAGTCCAACTCAATCCAATAAAAAATACGAAAAATGAGTGCCCCATGATTGGCTGATCTGCAGAAAGAAACGCGTGGTGAAACTTGTGTTGAGCACGAAAAACCATTTTGACTCTTCAGGAACTGCAATAAGAAACCATTCGTCATCCCCCGTATTCACCAGACCTTGCTCAAACAGACTGCCATTTTTTTCGTGATTTATGCAATTATTTACATGACTAGAAGTTTTCTTCCCAGGAGGCAGTACAAAATGCTTTCACACAGTTTGTGCAGTCTGATCCTCAGAGTTCTATCGCAAAGGCATAAATGACCTTCCTATTAGATGGCAGCAATGTACAGATAATAATGGTAACTATTATGATTAAATAAATTTATTAAAAAATAAAAAATGAACAATATATATAATTCACGCTGCTATGAATTTGACACATTTGTTAACTGAATGTCAAACAGTCACAAATCGGCCACCCAGACCCCAGCCCCAGCTCGCTCGCCTCTCAAAAATAATCAGCGACAGTAAAAACCATAGATAACCAGTTTTTAGTTAAAACCTCACGTTATACTGAATTCATCGTCCAGTTTTATGCAGTTGTTAGCATCGTTGGCTTGATTTATGTCTGTTTTTTAATTACTAATTAATTATATATGACATATTAATAATTTTTATGCTAGTATTTAGAGCAGTACTTTTTTATGTGTACCACAAATCTTTGTAAAGCGGAGATTTAAAAAGTCATCCATCTAGTCCATCTTAGAACATCAATTTTAGCATTATCTTTCTTTCACAATTTTATGAAGGACTCAAAATACGTACAGGCTTAACAATACCAATATAGGCTTCACTAACAAAACGTAAAATTTGGAAAAATACATAAAGATAAAATGTTTTATGATAAAATGTTGACATTCTGAGTTGTAACTATGTTTTCTATTATTATAAGACGACCAACGTCTCATTCTGGTGACCATTGAAGCTCATAGATGAGAAACGAAGGCATTTTTCAAAAATACTCGCCATAAACCCAGTTTGTAGTTATTATTAATTTTTTATTAAATTTGTGGTATTGCTGCGATACAGACTAATTGATAAAACGCACCCGTTAACAATTCACTTCATAAATACTTACCTGCTCTAAATATAATATATAATAGATTTTTTGTAGATTGGCATAAAAAAAAACACTTGAATTATCATAATTATAAGTAACAAGGTTGAGGAAGTCGAATTAATATATTTGTGACAAGGAAACAAACCTAAAGAACCTTAAAAACTTTATGAGCCTATCTTTGAAAAACGCTGACTATTCATTACTCCAATAAAGCCTAATAGCACATTTCACCTTTGACCGACCGCAGGATTGGTTATTTAGAACATTTTCGGTGACGTCACAGCGTACGTCATCGCGAATTCTGTCAAAAGGGGGCGGCGCTTGCTGGCGCAGGACGCTGCAAGCTCCACCCATCTGAAGCGTGACCGCCAACCAGTATATAAGGCTTTCGCGCCCCGAGATCTTTCAGTAGCAACCCGGGGTCGACGCTGACACATTGACTCTGGTACCTCTAAAGTTTACGACGAACAACATCACGGTAAGTTAAGCTTGTTTTAAGGGAATAATGCATATGATTTAAGGGCGAAATTAAAGAATAACATTAATTTACCCTGCTAGAAAATTTTAAGATCTCAGTAAGAAAGAAAAGGTTTTATTTTAAATAAAAGTATTTTTTTACATTTAAGTAAAAAAGACAAAAACGTTTTAAATACAACATTTTATAAAGTTTTTGATTCGACATTTATAAATACTACTTTTACCCTTCGTGATTTTTTTTTCAAGTAAGCGTTAGAAGATCTGTAATCTTATTTCTTTATGAAATTAAAAATAACATAAATTGTTTTCAAATGAGACAAAACCTTTCATGCTATAAGATCATTAATATAAATGCCAAATGGGTAACATACAATAGATTTGAATTGTCTGCCATTTTATGAGAGAAAAATATTTAAATTTCTAAGTAACATGACTAGATAGCATGTTAAGTAATCGAATATGTGCTTCATAATTATAAGTTGACCTGAGTTAGTAGAAAGATATAACAAACACGTTATTAACACTCGAAATATACGTGGTGCACATTACATAATGTATTTGCCACTGAAAATATGCGGTCTTTACTCGGTTCACAGTAAACTCGTCATCCCGTTGGTTTGTGTGTTTATCGATATAAAGCAAGTGTAAACTCGTCATGGGATGCTTTTTAAAAATAAATTTACTATACAGTACGGACAGCGAAAAAATAACAATAATAATGAATACTTAAACAATAAAAATATACTTATTGTTTTAACTACAAATTAGATTTACAGATAATAGTGCCGTTACCAGTGTCAAACACCGACTAAAGGGAATAAACTAATAATACTTCTTTAATAATTACGGCAAATTTTTAGTAATTAATTTTTTTTATCTTAATTTACTACTACTTGACGTACCTTTTTATATTGAATTAGTCACAATAAATTTTACTATTTACTTATTATTTAATTTAATTTAACTATTTGCTGTTTGGCGATTTGAGTAATTCAAATTAAAAACCATTCCTTATAGAAGGCAGAGATAAGAATCACCTTACAGGTTTAAACTCTAAAAAACCATACAGTAATTATATCAAAAAATAATATATACATAAAAAAATATAGCCGGCTTTATAATTTTAAATTTAAAATGCCATTATAATTACCCATATTATACATTAATAGATCACGAAATCGTGGAAAAACACTAATTTTAGCACTCTAGCTAGAAACATGTTACCAAAATTATCTTAAATGTTTCATATTTCATTATCCATTGAAATCGCGCGTCGGCGTATAACATGTAATGTTCAAATAATATTTTTAAAATTTCAATGCAATCAAAATGTCTCTTGTTTTAATGACAAAGCTAATATTAGATTTTTTATAAGATAGATATCGATATACATAATCGTCACCATCAACAGCCGCACGAGGTCCACTGTTCAGCATAGGCCTGAGCATTGCATAGCATATTGTACATTGTCAATATTATACATATAATATTACATAATATTCTGTTTATAAAATAAATATATAATATAGAATATACGTTGTGAATGCAAATATATATGGTATAACAAAATTATTATTTTAATAAACTTGCATGCGCTAAAGAATTTGTTTGCTAACGGTACTGAAACTGAAAATATGACACAAAATTAATAGGCATGGCGAGTTTACAGTAAGTTTTATTTGGCAATGGCGAATTTACATGTACTTTTTTGGGATGGCGAATTAAAGACCTTTGAGTGTACGGGATCTTTAAAACATGGCGAGTTTACTATGTGACGAGTTTACACAGACCCATATTTTCACTTTATGTTATTGTAGAATGAGTACAAATGGAAACAATATTATTAATACAAGTGAAAGATTTTATTTAGTTGCGTATCAACATAAAATAAGCAACGAATCTTAAAAGTAATTAAATTTTATAATTAAATTTATCTTTATCCATGTTGTCTTGGGAAAAGTAACGGTTAAAATTTCAACTTAATAAATTAACCCGAGAAGAAGTGATAACTTCCTCTCCTGAGGTTAAGTTGCTTACCTTTTGTTTCGTACATGAAATTTTAACTAGCTATCGTATAATATCCTGCATTATTTAAGTGACGTTATTATTAACACTCCAGCGGTGTATCTTTCAAAATATGCCTGCTTATGAAAGGTTGTTTAACGGCACAATTAATGATGTGCCGTCTTTAGGCGTGGTCTCTCCAAATTCGCTTAATCAGTATTTTTTAATTTTAAATATATACTGTTATTTGGAGAATAAATATTTAAGCATAATTGAACATATCGTCAACCAATATCAAAAACAGAAAGAAAAAGAAACACGACTTTAATACAAATTCTCAAGACTCGATAAAAAATGATTATTCTGACGCGCAAAAGTTTTTAAAACAATTTACTTTATTATTAGGTAAAAAAATATGTTTATGTTATAAGTTTCTATATATTAATTGAAGCGTCTTTTTTTAATTATAACAAACATTTTTCGATTTAGCGACCCGTCTTTTAGCTTCACTGACTTTCAAAACCAGTCATATAACAGTTTAACAATAATTATATAATTGTAAAGGCTTTGTGGCCATGAAAAACAAAGATATACTTATAAAACATAGATGCCGGTGCTCCTATTCTAAACTGTTCTCTATATACGTTTTTTGGGTTGGCTTAGCAACTTAATAGGTCGTCATTACCTATTCTATTCTATTCTTCTATTCTATTCATTATTGTATGAAAATCTTTATTAAAAAATGAAATAACATGAATTTGATATCTGTTGAATTTATTACCACATATTTCATCATATAATCAGCGCAGCCCGCATCGGATGACAAACTCGATAATTTAATAATTTTTCATAATAGTTAAAATTTATAAATATTAGAGTCATATTGTTTTTGTTTCTGAGTAATATTTTGCCTTTACACCACAACGACATCATGGACTTCATGGTCCGGTTTAGGAGGAGCAAACAAGGCGAAATGAACAAATGACGATGACTTCCAATGAGACGATAGGTCGTCCACAGTCCGCGTGCAAACCCCACCGATCAGTGTAAATCTCCATAAATAACTCCATAAAGTCTATAAATGATATGGCATACCCCGAGGTGGCGTATAATCTCCTTTTTTGTTCACAATCTTTATCAATTATATTTCTCATAATCTTTCGTGTTCCTATCACCTTTATGCAGACGATCTCCAAATTTACTGCCAAGCACTAACATTAACCTCCAACTCATTGCGGAATGGAGTAGAAATTTAAGGTGATTACGTGATATTAGGTAGCTCTAGATTACTTTCCAGAATTCATACACAGGTTCTTTCGAAAGTTGTTTTTGAGGGGGTTGACATTCCTTTTAGGCAAACGGGGAAAAAATTGGGAGTGGTAATAGATGACCATCTGGGTTGGGGTCCACAACTTCAATATATCAGTCGCAAGCTATATGCTTCTGCCGCGTCATTGTGGAGACTGCGTAACTTCTTGCCCACTACCACAAAGATTGCGTTAGCGCAATCTCTGCTGCTTTCTGTTCTCGATTACGCTGACACTTGCTACCTTGATCTTTCGGAGGACCAGCTAAATAAACCCGTGCTTCTAATTATCGCTGTGGACTCAAGTGGCTTCCCATTCGACTTTTCCGGAGTTCTCGTATATTATCTCTTCTCTACAATATTTTTCAATCCCATTTACCCTCATTATCTCAAAGAACGTTCCAGTTTTCTGCACTGTGCGAATTCTTACACGTTGCGATCATCCGAGAGCCTGAGTCTTAATATTCCATCTCACTGTACTTCTTTTTACAATTCTTCCTTCACTGTACAAGCTGCTCGTCTCTGGAATTCCCTTTCAGTTTCTATAAGGCGAAAATTTAAAAAATAGCGTAAAGGAATTCTATATTTCACAATGAAATATCCTACTACTGCCAACTATAACCATTCCTAGTATTGCATAATATATATGTACATATATGTAACTTTATGTGTGTAGATTTATGTATGTGTGTATGTTGCGTAATACGTATATATCGTATATATTTGTATTATGCATATATTTCTATTTTCACTAAATATGTTGTTGTTTACTTTTAATTAAGTTTATTTGAACATATTTTCTTTTTAATATTATTGCTAACATTTATACGCCCCGTCTTCATAAATTTTTATATCTCTCTCCATCCCATAATCGCCTGGAAGAAATCGCTTTAAGTTTATAACAATGTATTTTTATATACATTATTTTGTAAAACTGTTTTAAATTTGTAAATGTAACTTGTGTAATGTTAACAATAAAGAATTTTCTATTCTATTCTACTGTGATTTAATCAACAATCGGTATGTATGCTCTACAGTACGTGACTCACATCTTATTTATCAATTCTTTCTATAAAATACTGTATATCTATATATATGTAGAATGTATGTACAATTACGAGACGATATTAAAACTTGTGATTGTAAATATTTTTAAAAGAGTTTTTCTTTTTTATTGATGATCTCAAGGAGACGAAACCGCTTAGAAATATAATGAAGTTATTTCCTTGCACAAAATCAACTAAATTTAACGTTTCTTGTTAATGTTTTTATACAAATAAATCAAATTTTAAATGCAAATAAAAATTAATATTTATAGTAATCAAAATAAAAACTCTTGAATTTGTTTGCAGGCTGATGTTAAAAAGACATTAATTTTAACTGAAAAGAGGTTTTAATATTTTAATATTCCTCCTATTTGTCAGCGTCGGTGAGGCTCGTCTCGCCGAAACACGATGCCTAATTTATGAACGATCGCGCCGCTTCAGTAATACTGAATGTTAGGCCTATGACAGACAACGCGGTACCAGTTCAGATAATAAGAACTAATGTCTGCATTAACAGAACTATTTTGTTTAAATCCAAATAATGTTAATTAGAATTTAATGTATTCTCGTATTCATTGGGCATAACATCATCTAAAATGTCTGCTAAAATACGAAACACACGCCAAAAAGGCCGACAAATTTTAT